TGATCACGAATATGTGTTGCAGACGGCGGCCACTTCCGCAACAATCTCTACTTTCCATCCTCAAAACCCAAAACTCAAACCCAACACCCTCCCATTCCCACTCCTCATACACACCACACACCCAACCCCATCCCTCACTCTCACCAGCTCGGTAAACCTTACCCACCCAAATCGAGCGCTTCCCATCCACATCCGACCATCCCATCCATTCCACTTGCCCAAATCCCCCCTCTCTTCAAACCCCCTTCCGACCTCCACCCCTGGGGCTAACCGCAACCCATGCATATCCCACACCGTTCACGCCGCGCTCACGGAGCGGAGCGTGCGCACGAGGCTAAATTCTTTATCTTTGAGATCAAAGCAAACGTGCGCTACGATCGATAAGCGCACGAGATTTATCGAGATCGAATGAGATCCGTCTTGCCGCTGTGTTGTGATTCGGGGAATTGCCGGGGCAGAGGGGAGGTTTACGCTGCGAGATATCGAGGAGGCAGATGTGCGGACAGGGTGAGAGGCGTGGGGTTTGGTGGCGGGCATCCACTTTTCCTTCCTTTATCCACTTTGTTATTGGGGGTAGCGGACACTGGTTCAGTCTTGTTTGTTTGCTGCAATTCTGAATGCTGCTTCTGTTCTGCTTGCTTTGCCAACCGTGTTGAAAACTTTTATTCACTACGATTGTATGCAATACTAGACGCACCTTAGTTCATAACCTCACTTCATCGCACCTCTCCTCCCCTGCTGCGCTTTTCTTCTATACTTTGCTCTGTCATACAACCACGCTTCCTTTTCCTACCCCTACCATTTCGCCAATATGTATTACTATTCACTACTACTTTGCACAATTTTTATTCAGTCATCTTCAGGTCTGTGTCATGTCTAGCGCCCCTAGCAGGTTTGCTTCCTTGACCAAGTCGTAGAACAACCCTCTGCGCCTCACCAACTCGGCAGGCGTATCAAACTCCGCAACCGTGCCCTTGTCCAGCACGATGATCCTATCGGAATCGAGAATCGTGTTGATGCGATGTGCAATGGTGATGATTGTGCGATTGGAGAACATGGGGCTGCGGAGGGTAGTTTGTAGCATCGCATCCGTCTCAACGTCTACAGCGGCCTGTGCTTCTGGTTAGTAACCGTCGCTAACAAAGTGGGGACAACGGCTGTTGCCGCTGCCGGAAGTAAAGCGGATACATACAGTTGCTTCGTCTAGGACGAGAATGTTGCTAGGTGTAAGGAGGGCGCGCGCCAAAGATACGAGTTGCCGTTGGCCGGAAGAAAGGTTAGAACCTGTGTACTACGTTAGCATCGTAGTCTCTTCGCGTGCATCACCAGCCAGATGTTGCGCATGGCGTGTCCTTGAATTGAAACTCACCTCCTTCATTGATCTGGGCGTCAAGGCGCCCGGGCATACTCGAGACGTGCTCCTTGAGGCGTGCATGTTCTATCCGTGCGTAGCTTCGGTCAGTCACGGCTTCTTGCAATAATGTCGATACAGAAAGACTTACCTAACACGCTCCAGAGCTCCGTGTCATCGTGGACGTGGCCTGGGTCGAGATTATCACGCACGGTGCCTTCGAATAGCGCTGCGTCTTGTGGGATAATGGCGAGTCGCCGCCGGAGATCCAGTAAACCAATGGTGCTAGTGTTGAGGTTGTCAATGCTCACGTGGCCTTCTGCAGGCTCGATAATACGGAAGAGGGCCAGAGTCAGTGAGCTCTTGCCAGCACCTGTTCCCCCAACAACCCCAATCTTCTCGTTGGGTTTGATCGAGAGGTTAATATTCTTCAGAACAAGATCAAGACCCGGGCGGTAGCGCGTGCTGTAGTTGTTGAATGAGACAGCGCCCTGCGATGGCCAGCTGATTGGCGGTCGATTTTTGGAGATGATTTCCGGGGCTTCGCTCGGAAGCGCAGCGTATTCCAGCACTCGCTCAACAGACACAATGTTAGTTTCTACCTCGACCGTCTGACGTACGATCCAGTTAAGGCTCTGTGTGATCTGCAGGGCGTATGACATAGCCAGACCCACCATACCTGCCGAAAGACCGCTGTGGCTGGCAACAGAGATTATAGAGAACCCGGCGGCGGCCAAGATGATCACCGAGCCCAGGAACTCAAGACGTACGGCTAGCCATCGATTGGCACTGATGGATGGGTAATATGCGCGAAGGTTTGCATCCACACGCCACTCGTTCTCCATCTCGAATCGTTTCTGCTGGCTGTATGCACGGATCGTGCTCATGCCACTGAGCGATTCTTGGAAGTGTGCATAGATTGGACTGCGGCTAACGCTGTCTAGTCGCTTCAATTCCCGCGAAGTCCGCAAGTAGTATCTCTGGATGTAGAGATACAACGCACCAAGTGGCAAGATGAGCGCGACAAAGATGGGAGTGGACCACGAGATCACAACAAGGGTGAACCCAGCTGTGCTGGTCAGTAAATGTTACACCAAACGGCAAACGTAGGCTAGCTGCATACCTCGAGCGGAGTTGACGAAGAGCATGTTGAAAGTTCGGCTAGTCACGTCAGTGGGCCTCCAGGACTTGCTGCATACTAAAGTGGCAACTTACGCTAGAACTTCATCGACGCGGTAGATGTCACTATCGAAACATGTTAGCTTATATCCGAAAATACACAAGACCGACGGCATGGCTCGCAGATACCGCTGGCAGTGCGATTCAAGACGACTGGGTGCGTCGGACCGTAGCGAGATCGGGTCCGCATAATCGCATACCTTGAAAATCGATTCAGGATGCGTCCTGCAGGCGTGGTCTCGAAGAAACTCATTGGTGATCGGAAGATGGCGAACGCCATCCGCTCATGTAGCTTTCGGCTGGCCTAACAGTCCAGTCAGTCTGTGCAAACCCTCATGCAGCCTCTCAACCTGCTTGCAGACACATACCTCGATCGAACAGAAGATCCACAGGATGAGCGTTTGAACCACGACCAGTGCCGCAGATCCCACACCGAATGCAAAGTATATTCCAATGTACTTCCCCACATGAGGGTTCCCACCATACCGCTGGTTAATCTCAGACCAGTGTTTGAGCCAGACGCTTGCGCCTGCAGCATGTTAGCGTTGAGTTTGAAGAGACGACAAAGTGACGAGCCAATCAGGACCGACTTACCAATTGATGAAGTCTGGGCTCCGAGAAGGAGCAACAGATATGTACAGACTGCGGCAAGGTTGCTGGTCTTTGCATATTCACCATACACTGACCACTTGACCTTGCCCTGCTCTGCAAACTCCTTCGTTTGCTTGCTCTTCAGTCCTCCTTCCTCATCTGTAAGCTTGCCGCGAGGCCCTTTGAAGCTAGCAGTACTGGCCCGGCGAAGAGTGTGAAAGCTACGCTTACGGACCGCATCGGCACCGGCTCTCAGAGGAGCCAAATGTGAAGCATCCTCTTGAGCGGCTTCCGCCTCGGCTTGATCTTCATCATCAGCGCCGGCAGGGCTCTCGCCATATATGGTAGACTCTTCATCACTCGTGACACCTTCAGAAGCACGTGTGCTGTCATCTTCACTCTGGTCCTCGTTTAGTGATGTTTTGATCAAATTCGCAATTTCTCCTTTCATAGCCATCAGCTGATCATAGTTGCCCCGTTCGAGAATTTTGCCCTCACGCAGGAGCAGGATCATGTCAGCTTCCATGAGAACAGGAATGGAATTAGTTGCCAGGATCCTAGTCTTCCCAGCGAGCAATCCCTTCGGTCCCAGAACATTGTCGATCAAATGTCTTCCGACATGCTGGTCAACAGCCGATAGGCAGTCATCGAGAAGGTAGATATCCGCTCGCGCGTAGACAGCGCGAGCCAATGTCAGTCGGGCCTTTTGTCCACCTGATAAAGATATCCCACGCTCCCCAACCTCAGTCTGGTCGCCATCTGGTAGTTGCGCGAAGTCGTCGCGCAATGCGCAAGCGTTGACTGTTTTGTCGTAGAAGTGTGGGTCCCAGCGATGACCGAACACGATGTTTTCACGGACTGATGCATTCATGACCCAAGCTGACTGTGGTACATAGGCGGTTTTGCCTCGGAGCACAACCTCTCCGTGGATTTTCCATAGATCGCCGAGAACCGCCTGCAGGAGGGAGGACTTGCCAGATCCAACACGACCCACGATGCAAGCAAGTTCACCCTTGTGTGCACTGAAATTGATATTCTCAAGCGCTCGGCGCTCGGCGTTTCTGTCCCACGTAAAGCTTGCATCACGGATGCGAACCGACTCGTCACCATTGTCCTCTACGGCTGCTTCACGTATGACAGCATTCTCTTGCAGCTCGTCAGCAGTGAGATAACCAGTAATCCGGCCGACTGCAACGCTGGCTTCCACGATCGCCGTGATGACCATGGGGAGGATAGCGAGCGGGAATGTGAGGAGGTTGAACAAGGTGAGGGCTGGGAAGACGATGTCGGTGGTCAAGGCACGGTGCTGGGTCAGTACGAACACGCCGAATGTTGAACACGACACTAAGAAAGGCGTGGCCGACCATGTAAAGGTGGAGAAGGCTTGAGTAGCACCAATCTTGCGAAGCGTATTGAGCTCTTGATCGTTTCGAATATGGTTTAATCGGTTGGCGAAAGCTGTTGTCCAGGCGTAAAGTTTGATGGATTTCATGTTGTTGAGTATCTCCGATATGAGCTTCGTTCGGGCATCCTTGTTCTTCATCTGTTCTTTCTGCAAGATTTTCATCCATCGTGCAATGATTCCGTTGATAGGAATCATAATGAACATGGCAGCAACACCTGCAAAGCAACTGGCGCCAAGCAATTGATATAAAGAGAGCATGCAAAGAATGATCTGAAACGGAGCCGACCAGAGTTGTTGACCATATTGCGCCAGGTCTTGGAGTCGCTGGGTATCAACGGCCATGTAGTTGACAATATCGCCTGTAGACTTGGCTGCGCGGCCTTCATTGGAGAGACGAGTCGACTTGGCGTAAATAGCAGCAGTGAGAGATGACTTGATGCGCATGCCAGTCTCAAACGCACGCTGGAAGTACTGATGAAGACAGGCTGTCTGTGAGACAGACACAGCGAACATGGCAAGCGCAATAGCAGCGCCTCGTACGACGGGCTGGGGATTGGGACCACGGTAAGAGTCTACAAAAGTGATCAAGAGCCTTAGCAGCTGGGGTTGCGCAAAGTTCAAAATATCACTGATAGTCTTGATAGCTGCTCCCCGAAAGTATGGGCCACCGAATGACCGGAACAGAGCAAGCCATAAAGAAGGGTATTTCTTTTCCATCTCATGGGCCCAAGCTTTCTCAAACGTCTGCGCCGTGTGTCGGGTCGAATCTCGCTTTCGAAGGTTCCACAGGTCATCCTGGGTTAAAAAGGTCTTGTAACCACGCTTCATGAGGGGGGTCATCCAGCCGAAAGTCAAGACAGAAAACACATCGGCGTATTCGTATGGGCACTCGTCATCGTCTCCCAGCATATCGTAGTCACTCATGCGCTTAGGCACCAGCCATTCCAGCACAAATGAAGCCGCTGCCAGACCAACACTAGCGCAGAAGACTGCAAAGTATGCCACATGCTCGTGGTGTAATTGCCGAGCTACGAGAGACCGGAGCTTGACAGCGTATGCGATGAGAAAGAATAGCCCATAGAAAAGCACGACACCATTCCGCGTGGCGTGATCGCCATGGCTCAATATACTTATGTTAAGAGATGACACCGAGAGAGGCGATTGTAATGATTGAAGTCCAAAAGCGGAAATCCTCAACCCAAACGTCTTTGAGATATTCGATCTGGAGGGCTGCTTGTACGGCAGTGGTTGCAACGAGAGCTCCCAGGGTAATCTGCCAAGGTCGCATATGATTAGATACTGTAGACAGAAGACTACCGTTTATGAAAGAAACACATGACGTACCAGCTTCGCGTAGAAATGCCAGTTGCGCTTCACTGGCTGTGGTGGACAATTCCTATATAGGTGCCACAGTGCGCCTGCGCCTCCCACCATGCCGAACACGGCGACCACAGCTATCCACACATCCAAAAAGCATGGTGTGAAGTCGTATCGGATAGGGCTTATAGGCCCCCAGCCCTCGATATTACCACATAATGGCTGTCGATGGTCCTTCGAGGCTGCGAGATAGCCGTGTGCGAGCGGGCTGGGGGGGAGAAATGGCGTCTGCTGTCCCTGCATCGATTCGTGATGTTCACTAAACTGCAGAGCTCTGAAGTACACAGAGTCAAGGCAGAGAGTCGTCCGAGAGGCGCGGGTGGAAGAAGTCGCGATGGCCAAGTTTGGAGAGAAGTCGCCCGCATGGACGCACGGGCCGTTGATTGCCTGTCACAATCAACGGATTATATCATCATCGCTGAGATCGCTGAGGGCATCTAGCGCTCAAATCCCCGTTATGTCCGCTTCATACGGTAAGCGTCATTCACCGCTTTCAACCTCGAAGCTATGCCAGACGAAGAACAGGGGAAACTCTTGCTCTTTGTTGAAGACATTGCATAAGTAGAACGCATTCAATCGTCGTTCAGGGGGGTTGACTGCTGCCATGCGTTCGCTTGCCAGTGTCAAATCATGACTTGAGTGACGTTCGGTCCGATGTTGCCGGCCGGGATCGTCAGCACGCGAACACCAAATCACGTGCGCCAAAATTAGTGCTTCAAGATCACGTGCTTCACATCAATCCGCCCAGTCGCTCTTAGGAACTCCTGGAATCATTCGCATGCTGCTCGCACCTTCTGTTCTTTTGTAGAAGCGAAGAGACATTAGCAGAACTGAGGAAAAAACAATGGATATTTTCCACGAGCGTCTGAGCTAGTATCAGATT